CCACTGGTATGTTTTTTTTTTTAAATTGTAATCCAAATCCAATCTGATTAACTAAAATTACATAATTTATGTGGGTGCAGTTTTATTATAATATATTTATTGTATTTAAATACAATGATTTAAAAAAAAATCATATAAAAATCAAAAAGAAAAAAATAGAAAATATCTATAATTATTAATAATAACTAACAATAATTTAAAAAAAAAATCATATAAAAATCAAATAGCAATAATAGAAAATTAAAAAATATATAATTATTGATTAACAATAATTAAAAAAAAAAATCTTATAAAAATCAAATAGAAAAAAATAGAAAATGTATAATTATTAACATTACGTTATAGGTAATACGTTCCTACATAATTTATGTACAGATTTATTATTTATATATATTATATTTAGATAGGTACTTATATCTTTTTTTTACACGATATTAAAATAAATGATATAATAATAATTAATAGTGATCACTAGTTCGTAGTTAAAATAATGTTAATTAAAATGAATGAATAAAAAAATAATTACGGTTTTAAAAAAATTTGTTTGGTTTCATCAGTATGTTCTGTTCGTTGAAATGTAATTAAACGATTTTCTCCAGAATTAATTGTATTTAAAACCGTGGAACACTTTTTATTTTCACACTGCCTCTTTTCTTCACCGGACTTTAAAATTGTTTGTTTGTAATATTTAAAATTATTAAAACAAAGCAACATATTTCCACGTTCACTGGTTAATTCACTTAATGCGTTCATTTTGAAATCAACGGACGCACTAAAATGTGTCTTCGAAAATATTTTATAATGCATTCGTTTCGCGATATCGCGATATGATTTTATCTGCGGTCGTTAAGATGAAGTTTAAGATAAGTCAGTCGAAAGTTGATGTGTATACACTATACATATAGTTTTAATCTGTGGGTTTTACCATCGGTGGAGTTTACGTGTTTTCAGGTCAAAAATACGTATCGGTGGAGTTTACATTTTTTTTTCAGGTAAAAAAAATGTATCGGTGGAATTTACATGCTATAAATCCAACCCTAAAATCGACTACCTGTAAATCGGTGGAGTTTACAATCGCCCCGGCCCATCCCTCATAATATATTAGTATATTACAAAAAACCTCAAATATGCACTAAAAGCATGATGAATATAAAAATATGATCAATCAAGTAAATATCGGACCAATATGCAAAATTAAATTGATAAATTTGAATTCTTTAGGTGATGAAACAAATTTATATCTTACTTCACATTGATTTAGATATTATAAAAAAATATGATAAATGCATAAACATCCGCTCCCTAATTATAAGAATAGGCATACCAATACGGGACACAGGCACCTATTTAAAGGTAATAAAATAATAGGGGCGTTATATAGGTAAGCTTGAAGCTAATATGCAATAAGCAGATACCTTTAGGTGCCGTAACAGTTACATTTGTTTTCTCTGTCTTACAAGTGCGGTGCGTAACATGGCAAATTTTACGCTCGGCAAAACACGTTTATCTCCCGTTAGTTTAAAAATTTGAGCGAATTGACCTCTTATAAAATGTCGTATAATGGGTCCTCAAACTACATTAACACAGGATTAAGGTTTCCCTGTACACCCAGAAAATGTTGAAGACTCGATACAAAAGTTGTTAAAAGTTTTACAAATAAATAATCCATTCAGAAACAATCAGTCTAGAATGGTTTAAGTTATTTGTAAATAGACACAAAAATATAGCAAAAATGCATACTGAGGTTATTTCAAAAGTTAGAGCAGCTGTAACAGAGCATTAAATTTTCAGTTTAGACATATTAAATGATAGCCACAGCCCACAGGGTAATTAAGTTTGATGAACCTGGTTTACAATTATGTCCAAAATCAGATAAATTATTGGAACAAAAAAAAAAAAATGGAAAACTTTTATGAAGTAGCAAATAAGTTTTTCCTATGTATATTATATTATTATCTATTATGATTTTATAGTTATTGTTTTATTTATTACAATTTTTTTTTTAAGATGGATTTTATTTAGGTGTATTGAAGTTTTAAACACTGTTATTAGGTTATTTAAAAGTATTTATTATATGTAGTAGTTTTAAAGAAGAATCAAACAATATTTCATTTGTATTTAGTACTTAAGTAGTTTAATTTAGGTATAGATAAACTTTGTAGTTCACACCGACAGTGGCTTTATAACGAGCCACTTCACATGACTTATTCAGAGAAAAGCAAGCCGGTTACATCAGGATATAAAACAACTAATCCATCAACATCTATAAATCACTGACAAAATTAATACCTATAGAATTTAATCAAAATAGGATACAGAACACTTCCTTGATAAACTCTATATTCAATGATACTTTCTTGATCTGTTACATAATTTATTCTAATCGTTTGTTTCCTATTTAGCAGGTATGTAATTTTCAAACCAACTATAACCATAATTATCAATACTAAAACTAGGTAATAATGAAGTCCAAAAACAAAATTTATTAAGTATAAATTTAAAGTTGAAGGTACCTATGTTAAGTCAAAAATTAATAAATTAAAAAAAAAAAAAAAAAAAAAAAAAACTTATTGCCAAATGCGAATGACACCGGTGGACTCTCTACTACAAATTGGACATCGATTAGTACGTAGTTGGTCTGCGCAATCTGCGCACAAGACTCTGTGTCCACAAGGTACAGATGCATGAGACCTAGCACCATCCCTGCGCACAACACAAATTGTTTCTTCATTATGAAGATTCACTTGAAGAGTTTGATCAATTTGGACATAAGGAATATTATCTGGATATTCATCATTTCCGTATTCTTCCTGCCATCTAACTAACTCTAAATCTTCGGGAATAAAAAAATCCCTTTCATCCCCTAATAGAGTATATAAGTTACAGTATCAAAAATATGGAAAATAATTTTTTTCCGGTATCTTACATTCATGCACTTCTTCTGGCTCAGGGTTTTCAGGAAGTACTATGTTTACAGGAAGCTCTGGTTGATGATCTGTTTTAACACAATTAAAAAAAAAAACATTTAATTAGGTTCAACATTTAATAAGTAGGTATACTTAAAAAAAAAAAAAAAAAACATTACCTTCGACTCTTACAGCTATTTCATCTTCATTCTCTTCTATTACACCTGTGTTCAAAACATGTATCATTTTTTTTTTATAAAAATTGGTTTCAATTTTATTACTAATGGGTTACCTTGTTCTACATTTATGTGCCAGTTCATTTCTTCACGGATATAACGTTCTGCACTGTGTGAGCATTGTAGTAAAAATTATTTTAATGTAATATGCCCAAGGTCCAATTGTTGAGTAGATTTTAAAATTCTTCCAGACTTAAGTAAATATTTAATTTTAACAGCACGAGATATCCTGTCCTAGTGCTAGTTGTATTACAGTCACATGGTACTTGCTGCTCAAATTTTTCAAGTGTTCTATAAGAAATATAAAATTAGCTTTGATGAAAATATATTTACCAGGGTACATCTATATTTCATAATAATTTACCAAATACACATATGATTTTATAAAATTAGAATATAGTGATAGTTAATTACCTAAAAACGTTCATAAATTAGGATGAAGGATTTAGAATTTTTCCTTCAAGTGGAAATGAAAGCATTCAACATTGTTGTTGGTTCTTCTAGGTAAACCATAAACAGAAAAAAACTTCAGGTTCTCTGTTCCGTAGCCAATAGCTTAAATTAAAGATAGTTGATTTCATAATATTACATTATTACATAGGTATTTAAAAAAAATATATCCCCAAGGAATTTCACATACTTTGAATAATAGTTAAAAAATGTAGCAAATCTAACATTATTATCTATGGCATGGCGACGTATTAATTGAAAACCTTCGTCAATTTTGTTCACCGGCAATAATGCTAAAGCAGCGCACATTTTTAAACAGATCTGGGCTTATACGTTATCCTTCACGTATTGTGCTAGACCCAGTCTTTTAACATTTTTTATTAATGCCTAGAAAATAGTAAATTTAAACATGAAAGTATACAATAATAGTTTAAGAGGACGCCACACGGGCAAACGAAACCATGCAATGACCAAGAGAATGCACTGTTAGGTGTTTTCGTGATCCGCAAGCACGCGACGTTTAAGCCACGCCCACTACTCACAGCCGCGTACCGACCGACGAGTTGTCGAGTTCGGGAGCGTTGTTTATTATCTTATGAACGTTCGTCCGTGACATATTCCGTCGAAATAAAATTCATACACGTAAATGCATTGCCACCATATTCGCTCTTATACCCACACTAACCATCTTTTAATTAAAGCCGCTGTCAGCCCAATTGTATACCTATTTGTATATAATAATATTATGTTGGCTAGAAAATCTAGTTTTTACCGTACAAATTGTTGTACAAACATTTTAAGTATTCGAGTTAACAATATTTTACGTACAATAACTTACGATTTACATGTAGTTTGTAAAAATATCAATATAGACATACCAATTATGTATTTAATTTTTATACTTACTAATATTTTCGAATGTATTACCATAATACCGTTGATTTTAATAAATATTATTATTTTTATTATTCAATGACAATAATATAACATTGAGGACGCTAAACCAACGAAAATACCGTACAAAAACATTCCAATTTTGTTCCAATAATACGGCTAAGTAAATGGTTTTAGAGCAAAATACCTTAATTAAAAGTTGTAGAGGAGTTATATCGGGTAACGTACAAGACTCGATTTTTGATATTTTAATTTTTTTATACCAATTATTCATAAGTAAAAAAGTGAAAATAACTGAAAACGCAAAACGATTTTATCGAATTTGAGAATGAAATATTGAAAATCGAGTCTTATACGTCACCCGGTATAACTCTTCTTACATTTTAATCAGCCATAAATAAACTACTTGAATTTGATTTACACTTACTGAGTTGCAATCTAAGAAAGTAAAAAATAAAAAACCATTCAACTTGTCTAAATTATATTCAAATATTTTATTAATTTTTTTTTATAATCATTTTTTTTTTTTTATGTGGTCTGGTTCTCGAATATCTGATTTCAGCATTCTTTTAGGGAATTGTGGATCAATAATTTCGGGTAATAAAGACTTCATATAAAACCTTAAAGTATAAAATATAATATGTTAATAAAATAGATAAAATATAATATAAATATATTATAGGTAAAATAGATAAATCATGATTCACTAGTAATCGTGTATTCGTGTGAAAGATTATCTAATTACTCAGTGTACAAATTATTAAAAAAAAAAAGGACTCACGTTTGTAGCGGCTCAGACATTTTAGAAACCCAAAATGATTGATCAAAGTATATTTCTTCTATACTGATCCATTTGGCAGTGTATATCACAAAAAAGCATTTTTTTCTTTTAGTAGCGTGTAATTGTCCCATTATTTGGTAGTAATATACGTGTTCTTTTTTCAATTTAATTTCTTGCCCTTCAACTTTGCAATATTGTAGCTAAAAATAAAATCAAAATCAAAATTACATTCACACTTCACACAACATAATGTTACGAAGCCACGAAGGCTAAAAATCTTCAAATCTAACAATATTTAACCTATCATCGTATACAACTAAATACAAATGTACCTACTAAGTAATTATCGACAAAATATCGCAATAGAAATATAATCGCGAAACCAATATATTGCATGTCGCATGAGAAAAATATCGTAATTATTTAATTATAACATAATATTTTGGTCATGATATTTTACCGGCAATATTTTGTTGGTATATACCACTAAAATTATAATTATTAAATATAATTTAACACTCACAAGTTTACTGTTCACTGCTTCAATGGCATCGATTGAATCACGAGCAGAATATGGACATTTTATTTCCAATAAATAATGTTCACCAATAAGACCATCTATAAAATAAGTTGAATATTACAAAAAATGTATCAGCAGTCTTCCTATATTGGGGGTAATTATTCAGATTTATATATTTATTATATTTTTAGACTTTTAATTTATATAATATATATATTATATATATTTTTAACTTGTGATTTAATATTTATTATTTTTAAAATATAAATTATAATTCATCCAACTAATATTTTGGTAGTAATATAATAATAATGTTCTGTTACCTGGGCTGGCAGCTAGAAATGGAAATTCTGGATCTATAATCAAACCATTCTCATAAATTTTTTCTTTCGACAATTGTTCAAATTTTTGACGAGCTAAAGTCTCCATTTCTCTACCATACTGTACCGATTTTGTTTGTAGACTGTCAGAAGCATATAAAATATTATGAACTACATTTTTGCAGCTAGTGTTTGACCGCATTTTACAAATTTGACCAAATCTTGAAGCTGTTAGTCGTATTTTACGTTCGTTGTACCACATTTCACTGTTGCTTTGTTCTCGAGTTTCAAATTCGATTTTTTTTACATCAGCTCGACCTAATTCTTCTAAAAATGTAATTTTTTTGTTTTCCATTTCTTCTGATGAAAAAAATTCTATTAGAGGTTCAGCCAGTCCATAATCTTCGTCTTCTCCATCCGTTTTAGATTTTTTAGCTTTTCTTTTTTCCGGAAATAATTGCCTTCTTTTACTGGTATTAAGCCGTATTCTTTGACTGTTCTTCAAAAACTTTTTTCCAAATATTCCTGTAATAAAACAATTGTGTAGCTAACCTATATTAAAGTTACTATTTTATTAAACGTAAATATGCATTTTACCTGGACTACATTTAGTTAATGTTTTATGAATTTGTCTTAAATATTGTTTGGAATTAAATGACACAATCGCAGCTTCTACTCTCGTATTATAATTACCTCTACTACTAAAATTCAATCGTTTTCCGGCAATGTGTTTATTAATAACAGAATTAAACTGTTCACAGATATTAGAAGTATTATTTTCTAATAAACTTTCCGCATTAGTTACAAGCCTTGAAGCAATGTTCACTATTTCCCTCATCATTCCACTAGTTTCAGCTTCTGGGACTAAATTTAATTGAATTTTTTTTGATCGATCACAAAAATATGACCTACAATTTGAATGATAACCAAGTCTGTGATATGGTGCATTGATTAAATCACTTCTGAGACCTAAAATTATATATATTTTATTAGCCTTTTTATGCAATAAAGAAATGTTGGTAAATTGGCCAACAATAGTACAAAATATTATACACTATATGATATAACAACATACACATTTTAAAATAAATTATTATCCTACTCCAACCAAATTCCAAAATTATAAATAGTTACCTTTAATTTTTTGTGTTTTGGTAGTATTGATTTCTTTTCTCCAATGTAATGCTGCCATCTGAACATCACATCTAAATCTCTTAATGTTTGATAATATAAATTTGCGAACACGAAGAGGGTAACTCGAATTTCTAGCTAGTGTTGTTAGTTTCGAAGCATAATTTCTCATAAGATGGTTTTTACACTCAATTTTTCTTATTGTAAAGTTAAAGCCATATGGTCGACTTTCGGCTAACCGCTTAGTAACGCTACTATCTCCATCACCTTAATATCAAAACATTATTTATTATTGTAATTATTATCATTATTATTATTAATATAATAAACACAATTTTTTTATAGACAAAATTTTTTTTCAAATTCGACGAAATTTGGAGAAACCGTCTCCGCTCAGAATTATTATTCGTATACAATGATAATATCTTTGAATTCAATTAAGCTCATAATTTACCAATTAAACAATTGTATTTAAGACCATGCATTCCAACGCTGTTGGAAAATCCTTGTAGCACACCATCTGCTTCCATGCAAGTTGAAGCCTTTTTCCAGTTGAGGAAACATGTATGTACAAGTTTTTCTTTATCCTTCATACTTGAAGACCTTTGACAAATTATGCAATATTTATTTCGAATCCCGACAAATAAAACTTTTTGGGTTCTATAACCAATTATTGATGCCTGTAAACAAATATATAATAAATAAATTGATTAAATAAATTAATAAAATAAATATATATATACTATAGTATAAATACTAAATACTAAATAGGTACATTGGATGAACTCAAAATATTTTTTAATATAAATGTACTTAGATAATAAATTAATAAGTACGTACCGCGCCTGATAGTGCATCGTACTTGGTTTTATAGCTTCGTTTGGACCATTGCCCGTCCGCGACCACTGTAATAATTGGTATCCCATCCACATCCAAGCTACCAGATTCTATTGCCAATCTCCTTTCTTCTTCACCGGCTTTCTTCATTTCGTCCCAAGCTGTAGCGTGAACTATTTCAGCTACCTCGGTTTGAACACGCAAAAAACCAGTACTCGACAATGCAGGCAAATAAAGAAATCCTGATAGTTCTGCTAACTGTGTATGTCCAATACCTATAGCTTGGCAAGCATTTACCGCAGCATTATTAATATTCATTTCTGAATTATGAATATATTCCGAATGTAGTCTAGTTTTAATATTACACATTGTACACTTAAAAGTAAAAACTGATATAAATCCATAGTTCACTTCTGATTCATATTCCGTGTCAATAAACGAACAACCATAAGGACCACTATGCCGTTTTTTAATTTGTTTTATTATATGAGACATGTTGACGATTCTCCGACCAGTTAACATTCTAAAATAATAGACATTTTTAATGCATTTATTGTATTCAAATTATGGTAATAAAAGTCAAATTAATTTTTTACGAGCGTTCGAAGTTGGACATTGGATTAACAAATTGGCATACGATTTTTAATTTTTTGTTATTCAAAAATGAACAATCATAGATAATTTTAATTATGTTTATTTATCATTTTCTAAACATGATAAAACGTTCAAAATATTTTTATTCGTTTTTATAGCTATTTACAGCCACGATTTTTTTATAAGCGTATAGAGTTCAAATGTTGACAACATTTATCAAATAAAATATTTACAAATTATTTTGTAGTTAAAGATATATAAAATATTCAATTTTTATAGCTAAGAATTAAAAATTTAAAACTATGTTCCTCTTAAGTTGTTATAATTGGAGTTCAAAAATATAAAAGACATATGGACACGTTTTTTTTTTTAAATAGATTTTTTAAGTTCAAATTTGGACGAAATTAGTTGAAGTAAAGATATAATAACTTTGGTTAATTTGTTGTACTTTAAAAATATTATTTGCTTGTTATTGAAACTTTTAAAATATATTATTATATTCTATACACAATAACATTTTCAAATGCAAGTTTTGATTTAACCTTACAGATATACTTACTGAGTATTTGATTTATTTGTGTTAATTGATGATAAGCTATCATCTATTGTCTGAATACTCAAACTATGTTCAGACGCATTGGAATCACTATAAAGTATATATTATAAATAATAATAATAATAAGAGTTAAAAATTAAAATATATATTGTCAACTAAGTTATGAAAAAAAATATACAAAAACTCACTAAACTTAATTTGACCATTCAGTTACTTTCGACGATGACATTATAGGCGTAATCACGTGTTCAATCATAACATTTGCACTATAATTTAGGAAAATGAAAATATATTGACTAGCCTACAAGATAATAGGTAATAGGTAGTACCTAGACACTTACTTTTTCTTAGGAATAAACTCTTTGTTTGGTGATTGTATGTATTTAGATTCAATAATTGGTGAAATATTTAAATCCCTAAAAAAAAAAATCGGTATACATTTTTATTATAATATAGACAGTATAGTCACTATAACGAAAATATAAAACTTTATTGGCTACAACTAAAATACGATATTATATTATATTTATTTTAAAATGTATATCGGTAGTCAGTCTGTTATTTGAATACAAACCAATCATGGGCGAAGCTGCGACGGGTTGGCTATAGAAACATTATAAAATTTGTGTTATCCTACATTCCTACTACGCCTATCTAATAATTATAAAAACAACATTTTTATTTTTTATGCTTACTCCCTTACATATTTTTTTCCATTATTTTCAATTCTAAAAAAATCAGTGTTTTAAATCTTAAAGATCAAAAAGAAGTTAAGTAACGTAATATATGTCGTACCACGGTGTTTAAAAACTTTAAATTAGACGCTATAAGGAAATGTGCGATGACACAATGTTGATATTAGAAGTGCGTAAAATCAGAAGGACGTAGGTACTTACTTGAATTGTGATAAAGTCGGAGCACACGGAGCAGATTGTACTATTTGGGCTGTAGGCTGAACAAAGGTAGAACCTCCTGGAAGGGAACCATCATATCCTAAATATGATCCAAAATTGTTGCTTGAAAAAAAAATATCAATTTAGGAACAATACAATTTTAAGAAAAACAATTTATAATGTTTGTTGTACCTACCTGACATGTTTTTCTTCGGGTTCATGTTCAATTAGTTCATTAGAAACAATAGAAACAGAGTTACTATCTTTTTTTATTAGTTTGAGACGTTTCATAATATTGTTGATGGATTTTTTTTTAGAAATATGTGTTCTTTTTAATTTCGCAAATGTAGGGTTCACATCTGAATAGTTAATCAAAGTAGCGTCATATTCGTTTTTCTTCGTTAATCTAAATACACTTTTATTCTCTTTTTCGGATGAAAAGTATTCGACCAGTACGGTGGGATTTTTTTCATTAGGCATTGAACGAGTGCCTGTTGATTTCCATTCAATGCCGTCAGTAGAACTTTGATTGTACGCACACATATACCACAAGCCTGGTGTTGGTTCCATGTTATAACACTGTACTAGGTTATCAGTTATCACTGTTTAAATTTGGTTTTTTAAGTAATTTAATAGCTTCTTTTAAGTTTAAAGCTGAGCGATTTGATAGCAAAAAAATATTTTGCAAAACCATTTTCATACAATAAAGAAACAACGATTTTTTTTTAAACGGAATAAAACACACGCACGCTAACTTTAAATACTTCTAAACTAAACGAGTAAAATCAATATATTTAGATATATTGTATATAGAACACAATAGTAGTCGAATAAAAACTGAACTAGAATTTGTAATTTGTTTGATAAAATGCGTTAGGTACTCATAATATATTATGTTGATGTTTTTAATTCCTTAATTGTACGATAATTATATATTATAATTATTTACGATATCTTTACGATAAAGATGAAATACCATGATATAATCATTTTTAAATTATAAGTTCAAACGTCCAAATGTAAGTAATTATATTAATTGATATTATATTATTAGATAAAAGTATCTGACAGCTAGAATTGCATTTGTCATTAATATTATATTGACATTTGGTCATTATCAAACGCATTAAAAAGTTAATAATTTAGAAAAATAAAAATTTATCAAAATAATATACTCATTATAATAAAATATAATTAGTCTCTATATAATATCAATTATAATATAATAATAATATCATTGCATGTAACAAACAATATTCAATATCCCACGCGTTATCGAATACATTTTACTGACCAGTACTTCAGAGTACACCATCGAATGCAAGCCTTCGAGATAGGAAACGATTTTGTTGTACGTTATATACAGTGTTTCGACAATCATTTATTTTCCGTGTTTATTTGAATAGTTTTTTGAATTTGTTCTTATAAATATATAAGTCAAAAGATCGACGGACTTTGGTATTCGACGTTTGACATTCGTCAAGCGAAATTCAAACATTGAAACAGGTAAGAAAATTGATTTTATTTACCAATTTTTTTTTAAAATTCAATTTTTAATTAATTTTAGTCTTCAATCAGAGTTGAGCAAAATATTATCTAGATAATTATTCGAATAAAAAATTATTTGAATAATTTGTAAACAATATTATTCGAATAATTTTCAAATATGACAATTAGAATGATTTTTTTTTACAATTATTCGAATAAAAATGTAATTGAATAATTTACAAACATGCTAATAAAAAATACAAATATATTCGAATTCTTTAGATAGTTCTATATTTCTTTCATTTATAGTATTTTTCTATTTATTTCAAATAAAAGAAGATTTAAATGAAAACTTAACTTCGTAAACTTAAAATACAATACTAACTATTGTTTTTTAATACGTAAATGTTTTAATTACCAAAATATTAACCATATGTCCACATTATGTTAACTAAGATAAAATAACTGAAAATTATTTAACTATGTTTGAAAATTAGTCGAATCATTTGTTATTCAAATAATATTGTTTTCGAATTATTCGAATAATATTATTTTGAATTATTCGAATGATTGTGAAATAATAATTTGAATAATTTTTTATTCGAATACAATATTATCTAAATAAAATTGTATTCGAATGATGATGCCCAACTCTGATTTCAATATTAATTGTTATACATGTCGATCCCACAATTGGGGCCTGATTTATAGAAATTGGTGACTCTCTATGTACTTATACCTAGATTTTCTAGGTTTTTCCTTGGGGGTGTTTTCTATAAATAAATTTAATTTTTGTTAAGTTAAACAAACAAAGCCAAATATACTGAAAAGTATAAAAAAAGCAACAATATTTTCATATTATTAAATGACATTTTATATTTAAAAAAATTCAATTTATGACCTTAGTGTTTTTGATATTGTTGCATTATCATTATTTGTTCATACTAATTATACATGATCTAAATTTGCTTTATCTTATTGTTGTAGATATATGGTCATAGTACGTCAAATATAATTATTGGACACAGAAGATAAAAAGTAAAAAAAATGGACTTTAAGAAGGTCATTTATCAAATGCTGCTGTTGTTATTCACCATACAAATTTCTACCACGTTTGGTAACCATGAGGAAAATTTGTTTAAATTAACACCAACCAGCGATAGCCCGGGTTTGCAGTATGAACTCATAGGTAATGGTAGAGCTTGCGGAAGTAGTTGGACAATAAATACATATATGGATTTAAAATTTTTAAATAACAGTCTTAAAAATATTAGGGAAATGTTAAAATCAATTGAACTAATTGAGTTCAAAGATATATATATAACTTTGTATCAGTTAAAAAAACACGCGAATAGATTGGAAAACGAGATAGGTTTAATTGTACAAATGGGTAGACATAACAAAAAAGTTAAGCGATCTATTGAGTTTGGGGGTACGGTATTCAAATGGATGTATGGAATAGCTGATGCTGACGATGTACGAAGATATGATAGTTCGATCGATAAATTAGAAAACAATGAGAAAGATGTAATGCGTATTGTTCATGATCAGATATCTATATTAAAAAGCACAATAATTAATTTTAACGATTCTGTTACATCATTTAATGAAAATAAGAACATTTTTGATTCAAATATGAAAGCAGGCTAGAAAAAAGTGAACGAAATGATCATTGAGATAGCTAAGGAAGACAGAAAAATTATTACTCTGAGTTCGATAACTCTTTTAGAAAACTCTATATTTGAATTGGACATGTTTATAAGTAGGTTGCAAAGAGTAATTTCTAACGTACAGAACAATATAGTAGATGCGTTTATAATAACACCCGACCAATTGCTATCGGAAATAAAAAATATTCAGACTATTCTTCCGGATGATTTGAAAATCCCTGTTAAATTTGATGAGGATAATATTCAAGAAATATTCAAAATATTAAGTATTGAAATGCACACAGTAAATGACAGATTTATTTTTTCTTTAAAATTTCCTCTTTGCCTTATAGAAAATTTCAACGTTTATTACATTTTACCGATTTACATTTCAATAAATGAACATGGCCAATTTCTCCATATGACTAAAAATTCTATGTATTTGTTAATGGACAAAATGACCAAATATTTTATTTGGCCAGATTTAAATAACTGTAAAGTAGTGGATAAAATATTTGTTTGTGGATTTAATGAAATTATACATAATTGTGACACGGACCCCACATGTGTAACAGAATTACTAAAAAATTCTGTAACTAAACCACCTCAATGTGATACTTATATCTCTGAATTCAAAACAGAAATGTGGTATCCCTCATTTTTCCAAAATCATTGTTTTTTTGTATGTGAAAAACCCACTACAATTACTATAATTTGTAATAAACAGTCTTTCACTCAAAAAAATAAAATTAAAAGTTCTGGAAAGTTATACTTGAAGTCTGGGTGTATTGCTTACACCTCGAAAGGTGTACTAAAAACTGAACAAGTATTAAATCAAACATCATATTTCTCAGTTCCAGTAGACTTATCTCTTACGAATGATTCATGCTGTAATGTATTCAATTTTTCAAATCAGGCCTATCCCAAACCGATTCACTTCGATGAAATAAAAAATATTAAATTTAATAAAGAAGCGTTCAATAAAATAAATAAACAATTAGACCAAAAAAAATGTTACTAAATTCGCTTATTGTAGATAAAACATATGAATTTATATACACAAACAAATATTTAGTTATCATAATAATAGTGTTCTTATTATATTTTATAGCAAAATATTATTTAAATAGGAAAGCAAAAGAATCAACCATAGAAAACATTAATTTAAGTTATAATCCTCCAAGTTCTTAAAATTAATTTAGCAAAGTTTCTTAGACGTATTTATATACCTAATATTATGTATTATTATATTATATTATATATTATTATATAATTGTCAAATAAAATTCACAACATTTATATTATTTTTTCGGAAGTCAATAATTAGTACCTATGTATGTATTTTGTTTATCTTGCTTTTTTTCTACACTTATATATTGTATAAATGTTTTTGTATAAATATATTTTATTTTATAACATACTTTAATAAAATTGTTCAAATAATCAAATGTATAATTTGTATAATTGTATTGAAATAAATCATCTTTATAAATTTAATTTTATTTGTTACTTTTAAACTTTTAAAGTAATTACTAATTTGTATAGTTGTGTTGTAACGGTATCTAATACATTAATTATTTGATGAGATAAGTTTTAATTTTTATTAATTCTTATATTTTTAACACAATAAATAATATATATTATTTAGAAATTATGTTTAAATGTTTTTGAAGAGGTTTTTATAGATGTTTTATATTACGTATAGGACTCGATTTTCGATATTTCATTTTCAAAATCCATAAAATCGTTTTGCATTTTTTGTTTTTTGTTTTCACTTTTTTGATTTGTGAATAATTGCTATAATAAATTAAAATATCAAAAATCTAGTCCTATACTTCAACAGATTTAACTCTCCTCTATAACTTTTATAATAGGTTTTTTGCTCTAAAACAGTTAGCCGTGTTTTTGGAACTAAAAAAATAAGTTTTTTCTCACAGCCGCGGCTGTCACGGCAATACGGTAATGTAAGGACGGTTGCGGGCATCGTAATAAATCGAGCATAATTTTATTTTGTTTTATTTCACGTAAATAATAATAATATGAAAATAATGCAACGACGGGCGAAGCGCGGACCGCCGATAACAGACCGGTTTTGACCTGCCGGCGGCGAGCGCGCCTGGATGTCAGAGCTAGGAGGGGACAAACGCTGCCGCTAGAAACGACAGCAGCACATGACGGCCGCAATTACATTTTTTTTCTGTAAAACATGCCAATTTTGTTCCAATAATACGGCTTACTGAATGGTTTTAGAGCAAAATACCTTTATTAAAAGTTGTAGAGGAGAGTTATATCGGGTGCGTGTCGAGACTCGATTTTTGATATTTCGTTCTCAAAATCGATAAAATCGTTTTGCGTTTTCACTTTTTTTCACTTTTTTACATGTGAATAATTGGTATAAAAAATGAAAATATCAAAAATCGAGTCTCGACACGCACCCGATATAACTCTCCTCTACAACTTTTAATAAAGGTATTTTGCTCTAAAACCATTCAGTAAGCCGTATTATTGGAACAAAATTGGCATCTTTTTGTACGGTATTTTTGCCCGTGTGGCGTCCTCTTAATATACAAAACAAATATGAGATATATTTTCATCAAACAAGTTTTTTTTTTTTTTAACAGTTTTCATCCATTTAAAAACGATTGAAATAATAATAAATATGTACCCAAAGCAGAGTAACGGAATACAAATAACAAAAACAATATAAATATAGTATTTACATAATATTATACATAATGATATAACACCTCTTATCGTATTTTTATTATTGCCCAAATGATATATTACTAGAGTACGGATATTGAAGGAATTTGCTTTTTTTTTTCTATTGCTCTAAAACGAAGCTATTTCAGCTACAAATTCGATTTACAGTACTTAGAATAAAATGCATGACATTTTATTTGGTTTTTTTGCGTTTTTTGTATACTAATAAATATACATGAGTATAATTCAGTAATCAGTGTATAATATATAGTATATTCATGTGTTTACGATATATATTTATATAGTGACCTATATTATAGTATATATTTAAAATAGATATTAAGAATTGTAAATTCTCTATAAGTTGTAGGTAATCTTCAGAGTTTTTAGTGCATTCAATTTAGGGGCTTGTAGGTTATAGATAATAATAATATTATTATATTAAAATCAACACTTAGCTATAAAAATACAAAACTTTAAATAGCAGAACGGAGATATCTTTGATGGAATAAACAAATGAATAATCATTATTTAAGTAGGTACGTAATATTATAGATCACAACAATATTATTTTGAAATATATCATCATAGTAAATAATTTATTCTGAAACAAAATAAAGGCCAGTAATAGTTATTATTCCGACAATAGACCATTGCTGATTAGTTTTGAAAATAGTTATATTATTATTATCGTTTTTGAAAAAAAATGATTCTATACAAAAATCATTTTAAGTATAAAAGTGGTATTATAAATTAGGATATAATATATTGTTAAATACTTATGATTATGTATATTGAAAAGTTTAAATTTCTATGCTTATACTCTGCTATATTTTATTTCCTCGAGTTATACCTATTTAAATATAATAATAGGTATGCTGATACAAATACAAGATTCTCTGATATTTATAATTTATCGTATTATTGTAATATGTAGAAATTAAAATATTAAAAATCCAATTACATACAAATAATGTTCAATGGTTAAAATGTTAATATTTTTTTCCGTAGGTTTAACTTATAGTTTTATATTATATTTGAAGACATATCGACTGACATATTGTCAGTATACCCGAATATACCCGTATATCGGTATGGTATCACATAATTCACAATAGTACACACGCTCCATAAATGATGACATGGAATAAATCGTATTAAAATGATCATTTTTTTTTTTTTTTTTTTTAATAGGTAAATCTTAATTCTATTTCCTTTACCCTAGTAGATAATTCACAAAAATTATCAACATTCACGACTTTTACTTGAATGTTTAAAAAGGTTTCTATATTTTCTATATCGTGGTATGTAAAAGGTCTGTTATCATATATTTCTAATTTTTGACATAGTTCTTTTGTGAAACGTGTTTGAATATTATTTCTACCATGCCGTAGGTCTTTTATTTGCCTATCGGTTAATTTATGTCCCAATATAACGTCAGTCTTGTACGATAATCCCACTATAATAGCACGGGGGCAATACAATTCATCTTCATTATTAATTTGAATTACACATTTTTTGTTTTTGGTAAAAAGATCCAAGTATTCCCAAGATGGTTTAGGTTTGCCACCTTTAGGCATTATAACCACTTGAAAATTGAATACCGTTTCGTCAATATTCACAGATTGATCCGATGTTAATATACTACAAATTTTATTTAAAATTTTCCGTCCTGAGACATTAGACGTCATATTGCCTGTAGATATTGGTGAAAAAAACTTCGGATTGTCTGCGTGCAAGTTAACAATATCACCATCAGTGAAGTTTGTAATTTTTTTAATATTTGATATCATATTTTCTAACCCATCCTCCAATAGTGCATTTAAACTAACTATATCTAAACTCCCCGGTACAGGTTTTAATGTAATACTATAATTAATCATATAAGCATTGTACTTTTTTATAAATCTATTTTTCTTATTATGAATTTTGAACAAATTCGATTCTAACAGTGAAGTTTCAGCTGCTGATTCTGATAGTTTTGCTTTTTTTTGCCCCGACTTGTGTGTCAATGTGTACACGCTTACCTAAAAAATACACACAAATATAGTATAAGCATTTCATAAAAATTTTAATTTAAAATACTTTGGGTAGACGGTCCGGCTGGAATATTCTCCACAAAAATGTTGGTGGCTACTTCAAGCGTATCCTGTTGTTTGGCATTATCTAAAAAAAAAATTTTATATTTTTATATGTATCTATGTAGTTTATAGAAGTTTATCATACTCTTGCATAATTCATTAGCTTCAGTCTCATCCAACAATTTAACACATAATTCATCGTCACTGTCCTCGTACA